GCTGGCCTCACGAGACGAACGGCCTGCGCATGCTTGAACTCGATCAAATAAACACTTTCCTCAATCCTCTTCGATAGTCTGGCTGCATCGGAGCTGATGAGCTGGCGGTATCACATGTCCTTCTCTTGCCCGATTTCACACCACATCGCCCTTTCTGCCTCTTTTTGACCATTTTACCAGAACCACTTGCTGTACCTTCAGTGTTCCGATTGCTTTCACGACTGCAGACTTCTTTCTGGTTCATTGCTCCAAGCTTCGATTAACAACACTTTGCGCGTACCGTTGCCGGGACTCCATCTTGTGTGTTTTGGGGGCACTGGAAATCACTACAACTTCATGTTCCTTGCCGGTCAGCGTATCTCGTCCTGCAATGTCGGCGTCCACGACAGAATGGCCGATCATGTTCCGATGCCAGGTTGGGCTGATGGAATATCCCTTCTCTACTGGCCGGTCTTTTTCTCCAAATGGATAGACAATCTCACCCCAACTGACTTCTATAAAGTCGCACAAATGCCCGTTTCCGAAGACGAGAGTAATTGTTTTTAAAAATTAGCCATTTTCTCACAAAGTGTTGGTTGTTTCTATCAGTCCACATTCAAGTTAGCCATATTTCTAGGTTTATGATTTCACTGTAAGGACATACGATATGAAAAGTTGGGTTTTGTCAATGCTCCCAATAGATTAATGCTGGGACCTACTTCTCTTTATTTGATGAGACGAGTGGATCGGATCTATAAATTGGTCTCTTTGCTACCAGAAGGTGGATACAAGCAGGGTGAGCATAAAGTATCCAACCAACTCATGCAATGCGTCGTTAAAGTGGCAAAATTGGGAATAGCAAATCAGCGGAATTGCGGCCGACCACCCCGTTTGGCTTGATGTCTTGGCGTCTGCTTGTAAATGGTGGTGTCTGTCTCGGCGGGACAGATGAAACTTGGCCCAGATTCATTTGGGTCGTGGGTTAGTCGGCATAAGTTGAGGTCCACTTGACACAATCCAACGCTTCCAATTGACGGCAATCGTTCACTTTTCGACAAAGCCAATTCGCTTCACCGGTCCCTTCAAACAAACTCTAAGATACAGCAACATACTACCTTGAGATCGCACCTTTGATTCTTCTCCACGAGATGTAGGACTGAATGAGTTAGCATTAACTCGGAAAAAGGTAGAGATACCAAAATGCTGCAATGCTGTAGATCATCTTTTCAAAATACTTCCAAGTCAAGGTTTGATTTGGCGGCATCTTTAACATTTATCTAGTCTCCATGGCTAGGATTGTTTTTCTAATTCTGCCTACACGTTTTGTTAATCCATGCCCAATTATCGAGCTTGTGGTATGACTGCTGAATGAGCTCGTAATCACTGACAGCAACAAGATAGCCTCTTAAGTGTCGCGAGCTTGATTTGGGAACAGGATA